TATATATATAACAAAAATATCTAAATAATGATAAGGTGATAGTTTTCGTATCTTTTTTTACTACGACATTAGAAAAATACAAATAAAATAAAACCGCGTATTGTAGAAAGTAAAGTAAGGAAAAAAAATCGATCGGTAAAGGGCTTGTGTATTTCGAATGAAATGAACAAAAGGTCCTTGAGATAAGACAATGTGAAACAGAAAAAAGGTGATACGAAAAAAAAGGTAGATGAAAAAGAAAAAGATGAATAAAAAGAAGAATGAGAAAGAAAGAGAGAGAGAGAGAGAATGAGAGGGTGTAAAACGTCGTGACCCAACCCTTATCACACACAACAATCCCTTGACGAATGCAAACTGTGCTAAGATACAAAAAATTATAAATTAAAAATTATAAATAAAATGAAATAAAACGAGGTAAGATTTTTCTGTAAAAAAGAAAAAAAAAATTTAATTTTTAATTATACAAAAAAATGGAAGATTTATAAATGAAAGAAAGAGGGAGAGGGGGAGAGAGAAAGAGAAAGAGAGAGAAAGAGAAAAAAAAATAAAATTAACTTACTCGTCGATTTCTTCATCTTCCAACAAGAGACTCATCTTGACGACTTGAAAATTCGTTATTTATTCAATTAATCTAAACGATTAAAACTAAATATCTATCTATCTATCAGAATTTGATTAATTCACCGTTCTTTTAACACAGGGTGTAGTCCTTTCGATCCTTCGTAAGACTATACTCGCGAAAGGTCGTCGCGGTTCGAGACTAGGTGTTTATGCGCATGCGCATGCGCATTCCCGCTACTTCTTACCTTATTACTCGTTCTGTCACTCTATCTCTATCTTTCTTTCTTTCTTTTCAACGCATACCAATTTATCTCCCTCTTTTCTTCTCCTCTCCTCGTCGTACGTTTCTCCCTACTTCTTTTACCTTTCCGCCGTCCTTGCCCTTTCCCTACGATCTATGAATTTACATTAATTCCAACATATGTTGAGAATCAGCCACTATACAGCGAAGATGTCGCCACTATCCAAGTCTGTGTAGCGGTACGACCGATGGTCGCGCCATCTAAGTTACTAGAAGGCTAGGGAACCACGCTAGCAAGTGTGGTCACCAGACGAGTACAGTCTGTGCGTAGCCGTTGAGAAGTGTACAACAAAGAAAAGCAAGTCGCATCCTAACAATAAAGATCATAAAACAAATTCAGTCTAATATTATCTTTACTATAGAGAAACCCTCTACATCTGTATGCATTTATTTTCTCTCGTTCGACCAATAACAACACTGATATATTTCTATGAAAAAATAAGCCAATCGATTAACGCTTTTTCAAATTTCGCGGCTCGCAATGCGAAATTACTTACCGCGGGAAAATACGAATATGGTTTCATCGTTGAGATTGATCTATTTTTTGGAATTGGAAAAAAGGACGAAGGACGATTGTTACATAAATAAAAATTTATGTTCTTTCTTATCTATTGATTCAATTATATATACTGTAACTAATATCATTATCATGATTAACATGTTGAAATAATAATTTAATGTAATATTTTTCGAAAGATCGATTTACAGGACAATTGTAATATATAATTTATTCTCTACGAAAATTATATTCACATTCATCTAAACCCGATACACAATTTGTATAGGATAAATATATATATATATATCTGGAATGTGTGTTCAACATCATAGCGCGATTTTTTTTTTTTATTTTTTTATTTATTTTTTTTTTTCCATATATATATTTTGTTTTATATTGGCGAGGAAAAGAGTGAGGCCTTTTGCACGATTAATCTTCGAGATTTTAAATTTTAAATATAGACATCCGACATTGTTTAAAAGAATAAGGCTTACCTTGGGGATCTCACATAGAATAAAAGATAAGGGGTCGCAGAATTTCGTGGATTTGGTGCCAATTTATCTTCTAATTGTCTCAACGGAATTACATGTACAGCTTCGTCATCGCACTCTAGCCAAACCCCTTGTTCAGATAATTTAGTATACTTAGAATTTTTAAAACCGCAACAATCCATACTACGACAGCCAACTTTGACTAATTGTTCCTTGTTCTCACTAACACTTGGTTTCTTGAAGTATTTAAAAATACCCGACGTTTTATCGGAAGAAGAGGAATTTGTATTTGTGCTACTACTACTTTGACCAGTTGTTTGACGTTTACTGTCCCTATCACAATTAAAGTATTCCGCTAATGCAGACTCATCAGGTAAGCGGGTATAAGCAACATAATGACCAGCTGTCATAGTTGCACCTTGGTGCATAATAACAGAATATAATTTATACTCGTGCATTTGATCCTTCGCTGAAACATTTCCATGGACATGCTTGTTGTAGCACTCTTCGCAAAAGCATTGTAACGTTAATGGTGTAGGCATATGATTATTAATTTTCTCCATAGATCTATAATTTTATAATCCCAATTAATTGGTTGTTTATTTTTATGATTTATATTAAATGCATGTCATATCTTCTATGAATGTATAACATTGTATCAACTCACCCAGCTTTAGTGGAAAATCTTTTCAATTGCAAGATTAAAAGTCGAGGTAAACAAGGGAAACAAACTGCTCGTCGTGCTTCATTATATCTCAAACAACGTGCACACCAATACTTATCCCTACCAACCAAAAATTCACTGGTTACTACAGCACGCCTATACACTTCGCTACTGTCTACAGTGCGTCCTTCATCATCTAAAATAATAAATATTATTTAAGAATATTGTTTGAAATAACAATTAAAGTAAAGTAAGTAAATTTAATTGAGGATACCTTTTTCATTTGATCTATTAACATCAATGGGGACACATATGTCACAGAATGTTTCCTTTCGTTCAGTAACATGTTCGCATTCTAAACACGTTGTTCTCAGCAAACTGATACCTTCGAAGTCTTCGGAGATAAAACACTTCTTACTTTCTGGTCTATGATTTCCTATATCTCCATTACTTTCGGAAAATTCAACATGACCATTTTCATATGGCCTAGACGAAGAAACGCCATTTGTATTAGATGGAATTAAACATATAGAACTTCCTCGAGATGTAATCTTCTTCTTCTTTCGTGATTTTCTAACACTGCGTTTACTTGAATTGCTATCTTCCGATTGAACGTCTGTTTGCTGTTCAGCAGAAATTTCCGAGAAACTTGCGTTGTTTTGACCAAATTGACTTTCTCTGTGTCTAACTAAAAGTTGAAAAGTTTCTCTAATATTATCGAGTAAGCAAACTAAAAGTTCGTGAGCATCCTGTTGTTGATTTCCTTCGAATATAGGATTTACTTCCCTGTAAAAATTAAAGTTAATACCACCTTATATTCAAATATATAAATTTGTATATGACAGCATACCTAAGGGCTTGTAAAAATGCATCTGGTTGGTATGGTTCACAATTTTCTCTTGCCTCTGATACTCGTAGTGCCATAAACAAACTATGTAACTTTTCAGTAGCTATTTGTATACGAGGTTTATTTAATTCGCCGGTTGGACCAGCCAGGGCCAATAGATCTTTACTGCTCCAACTACGGCTTCCACTTGCCGTTAATGATACACCGGTTCTACCCAATGATGAAGATTTGATCTGTCGTAATAAAATGATTATATACTCGTTAATATTAATGTAATATTAATGCATTGATTTTTCAGAAAAAAAAAAAGAACAATAATTTACTTTAGTTTGTAGTTGCTTGTCATTTAAATTAGATAGATCGGTAGCGAGATGATGCAAATTATGTAAGAACGATGGTGCAAATCTTAAGGTATATATAACGCTGTTCAAGAAGCACGTATTTCCTAGATTACATAAAGTAGCTATTTTTAATCCTTCTGTTCCTAATCCTGATATATCATAACTTCCATCCTGATTACTCAATTGATTGCGATAACCATTCATCATTTTGCCTGTACCTTAGTGACACAAATAACATTTTCAATACTATTGTAGAAAATAATAATATAAATATATGAATGTAAATGAAAAACTAAATTTATATACTTACTATATAAGAAGTCAGATCTGTCAAAGAGGCCCCCTCTGGAAGAAGTATGAGGGGGCTGAGGAATGCTATTAGAAAATGTACGTTCTCGATTGGAAAGTGATAAGCAAAATTTTTTTCTAGGTGGCACAGACCGTTTATCTGTATCTTCTTCTGTTTCTAATACTGTCATCTTTTGCTAACCTAAAACCATTCAATATTGTTAAAATAAAATCATTACTTAATATGAACAATAAATAACATATGTTTTCTATACAAGACTTATTACTATATACTGATCAGTTCTACATATGTATATGACAGAAACACTGACACAAGTATATTCATTTCTATAATTAATATAACATTTATTCATGACAGTATCTAGAATTACTAAAAGAAAAAACTGAATAATAATGAAATCTTTTTACTTACGTATTATTGAGTAGGGAAGTCATGGAACAACGGGTATATTATTAATCTTAGTTAATCGAAATATAAATCTGTACAATGAATTCTTGAATTATTTCTCTTTTCGATAGTACGAGCTACATTGCTACCGATGTCTCATCGAGAGCATTTTCTTTTTCTTTTTTTCAAATGTTACAGTATAACCATTAACCGTATCATTCACTATACATATGTATATATAATACACTTCGATTAATAATATAATATATATATATTTTTTTTAAATAATATCCTATTAAATATCGTCCGTTCGTACTATGAAACAATTCACATTAGATTTCTGCTTGATACGTTTCACTTTAAATGGTAGTTATAAACGTTTGCGGTCTAAAAATGGACGTACTACTAGGTGCAACGACTCCTCACTTCAGACTACGATGTACTCCCACCAGCAGCTGACTCCTAGTAATAAAAGGAACCAAAAGGAACTAACAAATGTAATATAGATAAAGATAAATATAATGAACATTAACTTTCTATCATCCTTGACCTATCAGCTGTAATGGTTTTTTGATTGATCATTAACCTTCGTTTATAATTAAAATAAAAATTCTACGCATATATATTTTTGTTTACTTTTGTAATAAAAAAGAAATCATTAAAATAATAATAATTTTATTTGAAACTGTACCTATAGTGATCTAGTGATCTCATAGTGATTATTAGATTTTCAAAGAAATTAAACTTCCTATTGGTGGGAAAAATCGACCAATCACCGATTCTTATTAGTTGACCGAAATTTCCTAACGAGACGAGAGAAAGTATGTTATACGCATGAAATAAATGATAAATTTGTTCATTATTCGGTGCATGATTTTTAAATTCGAGTAAAAAAGATTCCGTAATTAATTATTAAATATATAACCTAGAAAATTTTATTTTGTAGATTATGCATAATTAAGAGTATGAAGAAAATTGAACGAATTAATGTTTACTTCAATAATATATTTGATACTTCGTGTATTATATAGTATAACAATTTATATGTAATTACGAAGTTATGCAGATGACCAGGTTTTTAATACGCAGTAAATATAAACTTTGTTTCTTTTTTTATTGGAAAACAGAATTTGTAATCGTCTATTAATGAGTTTCATACAGAAGATTATTTAATTAATAAACTACGAAAATATTATATTATATTATAAATATTTAACGATAAATATGTCAAAAAAAGTATTTAAAAAAATATGCTTTTATTTAATTAATATTGTAAAGCCTTTATAAATTCTTTGCATTAACACTTTAAGATGTTATTTATCTTACATATATATTCTTTAACATATTTACATAGAATATTTCAAATAAAACGGAATACTTAATATATTAATACTTTTTCCTATTCAACGAAGAATGTTATGAAGTTTTTTTTTTATTCTTATACATCCAATCTGGACTCTGTGGTTCAGTTAAAGGTTTAGTAGATTTAATACGGTAGAGCGGTTTAAATACTGGCATAGGTTTCGCTTTTACCACTGTCTGTTTACGAAGCATAGCCACTTCTAATTTTTCCTTGGCTAATTGTGCAGCTTTCTCTTTTTCACGTTGTTTCTCTTGCATAGCTAGTTTTTGTTTAATCTTTTCATCAAATTCGTGCCTTTGCTTCCCTCTCTTATAAGAGTTCATTCCAATTGTCATACTTTTTGGTTTAATATTTCCTGTTTGATCTAGATTGATTTCACTTGTCATAGTAGCATCAATATCAGATTGTTCATTCTTTTGTTTCGTAGATTTTTCATCTAATATTGATAATTTTTTTTCTTGTACCCTTATGTTCGTGATTTTCTTAGTTGATGAACATGCTGGCAAACATAATTTTGTCTTGCTCGTATCTTGTTTATTCTGTTGATTTTCAGTAGTTTTGTTACTGTCTTTATCAAGCTGTGATTGTTTCAATTTAAACTGTTCCTTCAATTTATCACGATTTTCAAAACTGAAAGGTATAGGACGTGTAATTTTTCTTTGCTTGGAATCTATGGGAATATCAAAGAATAGGACTTTTTCTTTTTTAAAAACAAGTTCTGAATTGCTATACTCTACAAATGTAGAAACAATATTTTTATTTTGAGATGTTTTTTTAGCAGAAAGATTCGAACAAGATCTTCTCATATTAGCATCTTCCTTTGTGGAAAGAAGATTCTTATCTTGAGATGCCTTTTTTGTAGAAGCAGTTAAACAAGATCTTCTTGACTTAGTGTTTCCAATCGTGGAAGGAACATTTTTATCATTAAATGCTTGTTTTGTAGAAGTACCTATACAAGATCTTCTTGACTTAGTATTTCCAATCGTGGAAGGAACATTTTTAT